TTTATAGGCAACAACCTTATACCCCCCTTTTTATAGACCGGCTTCGTGAATGAGGCCTACTAACGGTAAAACGACTTGATCTTATACATATATATAATAATTAACCATTAATGTTATAAATAGTATAAGGGTTGAATTTTAACTTTTAAAACTCTAAGGGTTGGAATTAAAGTATATTAAAGTGTGTGTAACTTTACAAATTCCAAAACTTGAGGGCAAGTTTTGAAACTTTTCAAAACTTTTCATTTCATAACTTATGAGTTAATGGTTCATAAAAATGAAGACTCTTCATTTTTATGTAACTTATGTGTTTAAATGTGTGTTTAAAAGAAAGTGACCTTTGGATATCCATAACTTGAGGACAAATTATGGACTCCATTAAAACACATAAATGATAAAGAATTAATGATAAACAATTCAGCAAATAATTCCTATCATTTTTCTAAACTCATAAGAACATGAACATGATCATCAAGATTTCAAGAATTATATGAACACATAAAATCATGGAATTTTAATATAAGCCATTGTAAATGGATTAGCATAAACATTACACCATCTAAAACAGGTTTTAAAACACCAAAACAGTTTAGGGTAATATTTCTAGTCCATTTCCAGCAACAAAAGTCGAAAATCTGCTGTCAGTTCATTCTACTCGTCGAGTGCACGAACCTACTCGACGAGTAGGATGAATTTTCACTTGGACTCGTCGAGTCCCCCGATGGACTCGGCGAGTCCACAGTTCAGACAGCAAACAATTTCGATTTTTAACACAATTTTGCATCAAGTATCAACAAACAAGCCTAGACTCTGATACCACTGTTGGGGTTTGAGCATTCTAACACTTCCTAACTGTACATGCAACCCTAATAAAGGCTTGGATCTATGTTTGTCTAAAATACATGCAAAATTTGTTTTCCAAGGTTTATAACTTATCTAGCATGGCATGGGGAACTTTTAAACATAAAAGAACTAGATGAATTACATACCTTTGATTGTGAATTGATTCCTTAGGAGTTTGAGAGCCAAGCACCAATAATGTGAATGCCTCAAATGGAAATCACAAATCACCACAAACTTGGAAAACTTATGAGAGAGTATATCTATGCTCTAGAAATCGGCCACCTTTCTTCACACACCCTAGGGTGTCATTTCATGCATCACAAACTTGTTTATATAGTGCACATGATTAGGGTAAACCCTAATAACCCATGTCTTTTCCTTTCCAAGGATCCATGGGTTAAAAGCTCCATGGATCATCCATGGACTCCCATATAAGCTTAGCCCATTACCATAATGAGTGTTAGCCCACACTATATAAATATAATAGCCCATGTTTAATTAGTCACCATTTGATCACTAAATTAATTCATAATTAATTTAAGACCAATACTAATTAAATAATACAATTTCATATTAATATATTATAACTTATAATATATTAATAAGCCGCAAATATACTCTTCTCATAATGTTATCCATATAAATAGTTCGGGTGAAGTGCAACCCAAATGGACCATGCCAGGTTGGGTCAAGTATATACCAAATAAGTTATGGACTTAGACACCTTATCCAACACATAAGGCATCATTCCTAGATCCTTAGTCCTATTCTAGCATGCTGTTCTACTGAAGCTGATAAACATAACATAAACTTGTATGGGTACTTTGGGGAATACTTACTTGAGCTCGGCCGGTCGCGCACCTCACACACTTCGTTCTTTCTCAAAACTCTTTTAACTTAGATTTTTAGAAAACCATTTTTCTTGTAAAAAAATCTTTTAAATCCCTTGATTTGAGTTCAGAACCCCGAAGGTGTGTCCGAATCCCTCAAACCAGGGCTCTGATACCAACTTGTAACATCCCAAATTTCGAGTCCAAAAATTTCATTTTAATTAACTGATTATAAAAACATTCGTAAGAAAACTACGTAATAATATATCATTTTGTATATCAATGTATCATGTCTGAAAACCCAATCATATAATAGCATCATGTCAGAGTACAATCCCAGAATATCTCTAGTGCGGAAAATCAATGCATGTGTGTATGATGTGCCGCTACCGGGCCAGCTCCTTCCCCTTCGCTGAAGAGGTACCTGAAACCAAAACTGTAAACTGTAAGCACGAAGCTTAGTGAGTTCCCCCATCGTACCACATACCATACAATCATATAACATACATACTGCCGGGCAATTCTGGGGTGCCGACCTACCCGGTGCGGCCATTCTGGGGTGCCGACCTACCCGTACGGCCATTATGGGGTGCCGACCTACCCGTATCAAGCCGTTCTGGGGTGCTTGACCTACCCATCGGTCCTAACAACCGACCCTCGTGGACTATTCCACCCCATACTGCTACTATCACATATATCATAACATAAACATACTATCAAACATATCTGGGGTGTCCGAACTACCCTTCGGTCCTAACAACTGAACTTGGGGACTATTCCCCTCCTACTACCACTATCACATATAACATATCATGCTGGCATATAACATATCATCACATACTGTCAGACATATCTGGGATGCCTGACCTACCCTCCGGTCCTAACAACCGAACTCTACTACTATCACATATAACATATCATGCCAGCATATAACATATCAGGTAGTAGCAAACCTAGATGATATCACAAAGACAATCATCTAACATACAACTCCTACTGGTGGGCCGACATTGTGGCCGTAGACCCACCGCTACTGGAAAGTAACTCACCTCGAACGAGTAGCTACTGATAATTCGTGCGGGAAATCTCTGTCTGCTGCTGCTCCGGAAATCCTCCGGCTATAATCCCCACAAAACACTTAATCAGAATTTGATATCCATTCTTAGGGTAAAATGACCATTTTACCCCTAACCAAGTCCAAGTCAAAGTCAAAGTCAACTTCCAGTTGACCCGACTCGCCGAGTTGGGCCGCCAACTCGTCGAGTCCCTATCTCTTCAACTGTCCTCGTCCACGACCCTACTTGTCGAGTTTAGCGACGACTCGACGAGTTCCTCTTCGACATGAACATCGAATGAACCTTCATCCGACTCGCCGAGTTGTATGAACAACTCGTCGAGTTCATCTTCAACCATAAGGAGATTGCCTTGGACTCGCCGAGTCCCATGAACTCCAGGTTGAAGGCTAAGTCCAGTACGTTGGGTTACTCCTTCGGACCTTCTACAACCCTTCTAACCCCCAACTGTGCTCTTTTGACCCTCAACAGATAAGGGGAATTTATGCCTTGGACTCGTCGAGTCCCAAGAACGGACTCGCCGAGTCGATAACGTTCAAGTCCTATTTTCTCGATTTCTGATGTACAACTTTTGTCCAAATGATAGATCCAAGCCCTTAAGCTCGATCTATCACATAAAGTCACGAACTTTACGTGCATGCATGGGACTTTTGAGCCTAAAAGGCCCTAAAATGGTTCTTATGTTGCATGAGACCTTCCTTGATTGCAAAAGCAACCCCTAACTGCCTTGTGACCCTTCCTTGGACCTAGATCCGAAGCTTCAACCCCCAACCATGCTTGCAATCATGGTTGGTTACCAAGAATGGCTTATAAAAGCCCTAAATCTCCCCAAAAGGGATCTAACAAAAGAACAAGCAAGGTATAGACTTTATACCTTCTGAGAACAGCAAATGATGCACCAAACTCGGATCCTTCAGTCTCCTCTTGATCCTTGTATGCTCTTCCTTCTTCCTTATGATCAAAATCCACAAAATCACTCAAAAGCCTTGAATCTTGCACCAAAACACTTAGGGTTTGCTAGGGAGGGTTTCTGGGAGCAATAGGGACGAGTGGGGGCTGAATGAGATGATTAAATAGGGTGCAAACCCTCAGATTAGGGTTTTTTGTCCAGACAGAGCCTACTCGTCGAGTCCGGGACCCGACTCGACGAGTCCATCACTTAAATCCCGCGTCTCATCCCGCTTCTACTCGGCGAGTTGGGCCTTCAACTCGCCGAGTCCAAGACCAAAAATGCAAGATTACTTAAATAAAATACATACTAGGAACCAGGTGCTACACTTATTTTATAATTTTGAAGTATTTATTTTTCTTAAAATATATTAATCTTTGATTAATTTTAATATTTTATTAATAATGTATGGTCCTCGATTAATCCACAATTAATCCCTTCTAAGACCGATTAATCCTTTCACACCAGTCGACCATCAAGCTACCGTTGAACCATTTTTACAACCTTCCTATTTTTTAACAATTTGTTTAAATATATATTTTTAATGTATTTTTTATGTTTTGTTTTTTTATATATATTTCAAGATTCTATTTTAATTTTTTTGGATATTCCATTTTTTTTAAACTCGAATTTATTTTAACAAAACAAATAGTTATTAATCTGCTAAATATCTTGATTTTTTAAACTTATTTTATTTGTGCATATTCGTAACTCCAAAACGAGAAAATGTAAAAGAAAATAGTTATTAAGGAATGTCTTCGAACAAAACGTAAAAGAAAACGTTAAATATTTATGTTTGTGTTCAATAATTTTTTTTAATAGTATATTTTTTTAAAGAAAGTGTTTGAAGTTTTGTTTAAATATATTGTTTAATATATTTTTTTGTCGTTTTATATATTGTTTAATATATATTTGAACGACATGTTAAAAAATTAAAGTAAATATCAAAAATATAAAGATAAATATAATAATACTTAAAATTAAATAAAATATTATTATAATCTAAAATTTTTAAATAAAATATTAATATATTTATTTAAAATAAACTCCTTAATATATTTAAATAAAACATTAAATTAATTATTTTAAAAGAAATATTTATTTATTTATTTAATAAATATATAAAATAAAAAGAAAAATAATAATAATAATCCAAATGATTAGATTAGGAAAAGTAATTATTGAAAATGTATGATTATTGAAAAGGAGATAAGAATAATAGTACCTTTTCCGGTTTATATCTACCCTTTATCCTAATTTGAGTACTGAACACCCCATCTGAGGTCCTTCTTCTCCGAGCTCAAAATGAATTCTTCCTATGCACCACCTCCTTCCGCATCATCGGGGGGTCTTAGGAGCTTAAAAGTTGACTTTCCGGAAGAAGTCCAACCCACGGTGGCTGATGTATATGGAACAGAGCCACCTACTCCGACCTATTCAGGTGGATTTACTGGAAGTTCCCAGCCGCAGTTCCCGGCAGTTGGTCAACGCGCGTTACCCGCTTATGAAGCTGTCCTCCAACCTCCACAAATAACAGCTGTACGTTCCCTTGAACACTCGAGTAATCAACTTAGTGGAAATGGAAACCGCGGGTGGGTTGACACCGACGGCGGCGCCGGTGGTAGTCTTTCAGGTTTGGTGCGCAAGAACAATTCTGCATACGGCGTCGTCGATCCTTATAGTAATGAGGAAGCGCCAGGTTTATCAGGATTTGCTCAACGAGATCGATCCAACAACGGATCATCCACAAATAATATGAAGTTCGATCCACTAGCGAATCCCTTACACAGTATGACCGGAAATAATTTCAGGAATGCATACAAGCAATTTAATCAGTCTTATGTTGATGATGAGGACCTGGACAGTGATTAAGTAAACAAATAAAATCAGATCTGCATCTTTCTTGAATAGATTTGTGAGAACAAGGCTGCCATGATGACTGTTGTTTATGATTTGTAATCTGGTTCTTTCTATCGATTACATGTTTTGTCTATGTGTTAAAAGAAGTTTAAGTTGATGTTGGTTTGAATTGATGTTGTAGAAACATCCATTAGATAAGAAACGAATTGGAGATAATAGTATTAAGTTGTTCATGGTGTCATCTTTTAAGTGGATCTTTCTTGATTTACAACAAAGTATGGTGGCAGAATCATGTTTTTCCCTCTTTCAAAATCATGTTCTCTTACGTATTGATATTGTTTTGAAATTATGTTATTTTTCTTGCGAATTAATTTTAGTTCCTTTAAAGGTTTCCCTCTTTCCGAAACTTTACTATCTGATATCAAGAGTTAATGGGCTATGTACCAAAGGGCTTCTAACCCAGCGGTATCCGGTGTTGCCCTCCCTCCTTGAGGTTGAAGGTTCAAGTCCCATCGTGGACATGAGTGGATTTAATGAGTAGTTTAGGAATAGGTTAGATTTGTCGTTTCAAAAAAAAATGAAATCTTAATATGGAATCTTAATATGTGTTCATTGCTGGTTTGAAATGGTGTAATCATATTTTTGCATTAATAATACGTTCATTTGAATACGATTATTTTCATAATATGGAACAACTAATAGAGAATGTAGAGAGTAATAATTTAAGTTATTAAGAACCATGTATATTTGGTTTAATCATATTTTTGCATTAATAATACATTCATTTGAATACGATTATTTTCATAATATTTAAAAATAATATGGAACAACTAATAGAGAATGTAGAGAGTAATAATTTGAGTTATTAAGAACCATGTATATTTGGTTTAATCATATTTTTGCATTAATAATACATTCATTTGAATACGATTATTTTCATAATATTTAAAAATAATATGGAACAACTAATAGAGAATGTAGAGAGTAATAATTTGAGTTATTAAGAACCATGTATATTCGGAAGAACAACACAGTTGCTGATTGGTAATGGCATATATATTTTGAAAAAACTTTAAATATTTATAGTTGTATAAATAAGTTGTCGTAAAAGTAAAAGTAAAATTGTTAATTTATATGAATTTGTTATTAAGGTCATAATTTAGTTGTAAATAATAGATAATAGTAAGCATGTGGATTCTTGTACCGAATGTACTTCCGTGTGTCTTGTCTCCAAGATCAATTAGACTGACTAATAGAAATCACAATACCTTCAGGCCTGTTAAGATCCTTAAGAGGCCATATATTCCTGTTAGTTCAGATATTCGGAACACATCTGTCAATAGTTGTGTGAAAAGTGTTACTGTTTAGACCACATCCAAGAAAACTGGCTCTCCTCTGATAGTTTCTTCTTCTATGTTTATTTGAAAGATTATTAAATTTGAAAGATTATTAAATCAAAATAACTTATTAAGATAATTAACTTTTTGGTTTTTTCACATCTTCATAATATTTTTATTTTTGTATAAATCTAGGTAACGAACTTTTAGGAAGTGTTGTAGCAGGTTACATCCGGTCATAATGGTAATATATAAACACTTTCATCAAGTTCGTTATCCAAATGCGTACCAAAGAAAAATTACCAAAATATGAACAAAACGAAAAGGTAATTACCCTGATAATTTAATTTCTTTTCTTTTTTTATTTTACCTTCTAATTTTGATTTGGTATAATATTTAACCTAAACGATAAATATTTTAAAACCACACCATTTTGGTAAATATTTTTTCAAAATACAATATATATAATATATCTTATATATATATATATATAATATATCTATCTATATATCTATATATATATATATATATTATATATATTGCTCTAGCAATTGCGCTCCCTAGACCACTACCATGTAGTAGGGCCAAGGGAGTGGTTACGTCCAGTATCCCCTCTTATTCCCGACATGCTATGGTGCCCCGATGTGGGTAGGAGCGAGTCAAGTCTGTATCGTCGCAGAGCAACAACCACGTCCGACTCTGATCTATCTACTCGGCAATTCATCTGGTGACGTCACGGTTGCTAAAGAAGCCCCAAGAAGCATCAAACATTTACGATGAGATCCATGGAGCTAGGTGAATGGAGACTGCTTTTTGCTTTGAATGCTTACCCAAGCTCTTACACAGACTCGACTCTAAACAAATCCTCTCTTAGAGAATCGACCATTCACTCATGCTTTGGACGAGAGAATGTCTGATTAGTCTTCCGCTTGAGCGGTAATATCTATAATAAAGAATACATGTCTCATGATATATATATATATATATATATATATATATATATATATATATATATATATATATATATATATATATATATATATATATTATATATATATATATATATATATATATATATAGACAAAAAATGGCTCCCAACATGCCGTGATCAATTTAAATGTTTCTAAATGGCCATAAATATTGTTTTAATGAAATTTAACTGAATCTATTAATATTGCAAACATTATGATCAACTAACTTAATAAAAATGCAAATTGACTTATCAAGGTAGTTATCTTTTCGTTTTGTTCACATCTTGATAACTTCTTCTTTTTGTACACATCTAGGTAATGAACTTGTTGAAAACTTTCACATATGACTATTATGACCGGATGTAACCTGCTACAGTCGGTCATAATGGTTATATGTGAACATTTTCAACAAGTTCGTTACCTAGATGTGTACAAAAAAAATAGTTACCTAGAAGTGAACGAACCGAAGACTTAATTACCTTAATAAATCACTTTCCCCATAGACTATCAAGCAAGTAACGATGCATCCATCCTTAATTCTAGCGGGTGTCTTTATTCTTCATTACATAACACTTTTCTATTCTAATACCATTTTCCTAACTAAACTACTACATTATAATTAAAAAGTGAAAATTATGTATTATATAATAGAAAAAAAGGCACGGAGGTTAGAAAGACCAAAACTAGGGATGAGTTATAAATTCGGAAAACCAGACCGGAACTGAAACCGGTATAACCGGAAAATGCTTAACAAGTCTGGGGATGGGGTCTAAAAATTAAACTTATCCAGGTTCAGGTATTCCGGGTCCGTATCAAATGGGTTCGAGTACTCTGGGTTTTAGAACCGGATTTGTTAAGAAAATCGGAACCGGGTTTGATGAACCGGAACCGGTTTAGTGAGACTTGAACAGAAATTTGAAGGGTTACTCAAACAATCCACTTACTAATGAATTACTACTAATTGATTACTTGGAGGCATTGGGGAATTCTAACCAAATTCCCGTTCTTTGATTCGATTTTCCAGTTATACTAATTCTTTTACATCAACTTGTTATAAAATTTACAAGAAAACAATCAAGGAATATACATGGAGTCACATACGACAGCTCCATACGTTAGTTTCTTCTTCTCCCCATTTTAATATAGGAGTTATATATATTACCAAAAATATATAAATCAAAATTATAATACAAAATTTTTAGTTTGATCTACAAAATCTAGAAGAAAAAACAATTAAAATCAAACGTTTAGTTTTTCTTTTGTTCCAAAATTTCGGGTTTCCGATTCCATTTCTGGGTTTCGGTTATTTCCGAGCCTAATACACGAACTTGGTCCAATTATCAATTTTCGGTTCCAGCCAGTTCCATACCCACTTTACCCGGTTTGTAATCCGGAACCAAGGGAACCGGTTCCCGTATACTAGTCCGGTTCTCGGTTCTTATAAATCGTCAATTTCGGTTTTTGGGTTTTTCGGGTCCGGGCAAACCTGTCCGGGTTTGGACTCCCTTTCATCCCTAACCAAAACACAACCATTCAAGCAACACATAGGTCAAGTCATGGTATGGTGTATCGGATCCATACAATTCAAAACAAACAATTATTGCGAACTTGGATTACAACTTTTAGATTAAATAAATAACCATAAAGTTTAAAGCCAGTTGACATATAATTGTTTGTATGATCTCAAATGCAAGAGATCATTTAAACAACAATGCCATAGATTTATCTTTCTTAATAACTATAATTAAACAAATTAAAACCAACAAACAAGGTGATAATCAATATTTGTAAAACCATCAAATTTGCATTAAATTTTATTAATCTGAGTCAGATGCATTAATGTGACCAAAGCATACTCAGTTTAGAAAACTTAAAATTTTCATTTATGTGAATATATAGCAAACATGTGTCGCATACCAGAAGGCAATGTGTTGCGTTCCATGTATTAACACTCGCTCCAACCAGGGAGTCATGCTCTGCATTCCACAAATTACGGTTCGGGTTTCTAGCTACCGACACACCACAAACAAAGAGTCGACACTACGTGTATACTTAGCATAAATGATTTTTCTTAATCCTTAAAATGATTTCAGTTGTAAAATGTTTATGAAAGACTTTTAAAAATTAAAATGGTTTGATCTAATAAATCTACATTCATGCAAACGAATTAACACAAAACAGACTGGAGATCGAATTGAAAAAGATGTGAACTAGAGGCTCAGATACCACTGTTGGGTTATGGGATACAAAAGTTCACAAAGGCACATAAGAAGCAATAAAAAATAATCCCATAATCCAAAAGAGGATCCAAGTTCAATCGAATCTATTACAACTAAAGTCGTCCATACATAATACATACCCTTGTAGTCTTTTTCTTGCGTGTTCTAGCAAGTGGAACAAATTATTAGAATCCGTAGTAGGATTCCTCTTTCATAATCACACCCTAAGAGCAGCAAAGCAACCACTTGATAGATCCCTTGAAGATGAACATACTTGAAAACAGCTACAATATGCTACAATCAGCTTTCAGCATGATATAAAACCTTTCTTGGCAGTGAATATCAAATGAACACAAATCATTAGTCACGTTTGGTCATTAAAAGCAGCTACAATCTTCTTTTATCATGATATAAAACCTTTCTCGGCGTGCCGCCAAGATGAAACTTTTGGACAGTCTTTACATTTAGTTGGTATTTATTTTTTT